ATCCTAAATCTTGGAGACAGAGCCCCCCAAATTTTCACCTGATTTCTTTTTTATTATTATTTATTTATTTTTTATTTTTTTAAAGATTTTTTATTTATTTATTTTTAGAGAGGGAAAGGAGGGAGAGAGTGAGAGAGAGAGAGAGAGAAACATCAATGTGCGGTTGCTGGGGGTTATGGCCTGCAACCCAGGCATGTACCCTGGCTGGGAATCGAACCTGGGACACTTTGGTTCCCAGCCCGCGCTCAGTCCACTGAGCTACGCCAGCCAGGGCTTCACCTGATTTCTTAGGACTGAGCAGATTTGTGTTAAACAATGGGATGTGAGGGAGTTAGCGTATGTACCCATGCAAGGGTCATTGCCGTCATCATGACTACATGCGTGGCCTCCGTTTTCTTCATTTTGAAGTTATGAGATGGAAATTGTTCAATGCACAGTCAGACCTGTTGTGTCCCCTCTGTCTGTCTTCACTGGGACTAAATCGTGTGAATAAGTTCACATGACAGATGGCAGGTCTCTAAGTTACTGACAATCTGGATAGAAAGTCAAAACTCAGATCAGACTTCCGTGGTGCTGCCAGTCTTCCAGGTTCTTAAAGATTTTACAAAAACCAGAGACAGAGACAGAATCCTTATTATTCCAAGGGATGATAGGATCACTTTATTATCAAAACTCTGATGGTGTGTCTCCTTTACGATGATCAGTATCCACTTCGTTCTAGAGCACAGAGGTAAGGAACCTGACACCCTAAAAGGCTGCTAAGAGAGATGCAGCCACTGGCTGGGAGCTGACCTTCCTCTGAAAGGATGAACCCCCTTCTAACCCAGTCCTCCCTGAGTCCATATATGAATTAAAGGTTTTGAAAATGTAGCTGACATTGAAGCCACAACATAAAGGGTTGTGGTGGCAAAAAAAAAAAAAATGTCCATCCTTTGAATCTAATAATCAGAGAAATTACTGGGAGTAGTGATCATAGTAACCGTGTCAGCTCTTGCCTCATGGAAGAGAGTGAGGTTGGGGAACAGATGGTCAAATTTGGGGATAGCTGTGAGCGTTGATCATTTCCCAACCTGCCTGCTTTGTAAAGCAGAATCACATGGAAGGCATGGGAGGCTCGTTAAAACTCGGACTGCTGGGCTCTGCCTTCTCCAGTCTCTGATTAAGTAGTTCTGGGGTGGGGCCTGGGAATTTGCATTTTAACAGATTCCCAGGTGATGTGGATGTTCCTGGTCCTGGAAACCAACTGCACTTTGCAGACCACTGTTGCAAAGTAGCAACTGCAGAGGAACCGAATACCTCCAGGTACATGTTATCATTGGAATAATCAAGAAGCCAGCCAGAATCCCCTGTGGTTCAACAATTTTGCCTAAAAGAGAAAAGCTGCTGCTTCTACTCCGCCCCCCCGCCTTTTTTGTTCATCTCCTTCTCCTCCACCCTCTCATCCTAACTCTTCAAGTATATTACTCCTGAAGTATTGTTTTCTTTTAGCTGCTATTATAATTGGGATTATATCTTAATTTCCTTTTTTGAAGATCAACTGATATTTGTGTATGGCTTTTGTATTCTGCAACTTTGCTGAATTTTTTTACAGGTTCTAATAGTATTTTTGTGGAGTCTTTAGGTTTTTTTTATGTATAAGATTATATATTTGCAAATAATTTTACTTCTTTCTTTCTGATTGGGATGCCTTTTCTTTTTTTTCCCCCTCCCTTGGGTAGTTGCTCTGACTAGGACTTCTGGTATTATGTTGAATAGAAGTGACAAATAATACATTCGTTAAGAGATTCTGAAAAGTTATTTGATAAATTTCAGCAGAGATTCTTTTTTTTTAAGATTTTATTTATTTATTTTTAAGGAGGGAAGGGAGGGGGAGAGAGAGAGAGAGAGAGAGGGAGAGGGAGAGGGAGAGGGGAGAGAAACATTAATGTGCGGTTGCTGGGGGTTATGGCCTGCAACCCAGGAATGTACCCTGGCTGGGAATGGAACCTGGGACACTTTGGTTCCCAGCCCGCGCTCAATCCACTGAGCTACGCCAGCCAGGGCTGAGATTCTTTATAAAAGCTCTGAATAGCCCTGGCTGGCGTGGCTCAGTGGATTGAACAGCAGCTTGTGAACCAAAGCGTTGCCAGTTCAATTCCCAGTCAGGGCACATGACTGGGTTGTAGGCCAGGTCCCCAGTAGGAGGCATATGAGAGGCAACCACACATTGATGTTTCATTCCCTCTCTTTCACCCTCCCTTCCCCTCTCTCTAAAAATAAATAAATTAATTTAAAAAATTTCTGAATAAAATAGTAATAGAAATAAACCATTTAAATATATAATAGCTAACTTTTAGTAATTCTGTAAATGTTTACTGAGTACTTATTGTGCCAGGAACTGGGAGTACAATGGGGAATAAGTCAGAAAAGACTAATGGTCTCATTCTTGCGTCAGTAATGCTTCTTCTGCAGTGGGCTCTCTTCTAAGGACTTCACATGTGTTATTTAACATTCACAAATACATTATGAAGGAGATACTACTAATACCCTCATGTTTCAGATTAGGAAACCGAGGACCAAGATTGAGTGACTTGCCCAAGGTCACATACAACTAGCAAGCAATGGCACCAAAATTCAAACGTATTTTGTCCCATTCCAAAGTGGGAATCAGCTAACTACAGCCTACAGGCCAAACCTGTGGGCTGCTTGTCTTCGTACATGATGTTTTATTGGAACACAGCCACACCTGTTCGTTTCCCTATTGCTCGTGGCTGCTTCCACATCACAACAGCAAAGCTGAATGGTGACAGAGACTGAACGGCCCACAAGGCCTGTTGTATATATTCTCTGGAACTTTACAGAAACATGTGCTGATCCCTGTGGACAGCTTAACCTTCAATCATGCACCAACTCTTTCTAGGGAAAAGACTGTATGAAAATCTCACAGCAGGCACCATTTTAATTGGTGAAATAACCAAACCATGTTCATAAAATATTGGGTGCTGGACAGGACCCCCATTGCCATGATTAGTCAACACTTTCTGGAGATTCCGAATCATGCAGTGAGACAGGAAGGTGAAAAAATTGGCCTCAGATGATAGGGTTTGAAACCCAGGGAACGTGAGGAATTTCAATGTAAAACTACTATATGTATTAACAGAATTAGGATGGGCTGGGCTAGGCCTGGAATTCTGCGCGTGTACCAAGCTCCCCAGCTGATGCTGATCCTGCTGGTCCCCATGTCACACGTTGACTAGCAAATATATCCTTTGTGCATGCAGTGCTCTTGGAACAACTCAATAATCATAGGCATGAGAATGATCAGGAGGGTTTGATTGAAAAAAAAAAAGGAATGAAGAGCAGGGAAAGAGTGGCCTTGGGCTTGGCAGTTTCAGACAGGGGGTCTCATTTGATTTCTGCTGCAACTCTGAGATGCCTCTTGCACTCTTCCCACGTTTAAAATGAGAACACTCAAGCCCATAGCTTCTCCAAGGTCACCCAGCTGGTAGATTAGGCAGCGAGGGAGGCAAGACAACACTAACCAAACTCCAAAGAAAGCAATGAGGATAAATACTCAGTGACCACAGACTGAGCCCGCTCCACGCTCAAGGGCACAGGAGAGTCATTTTGCCCCTGACTTTCCCCGCCTGTACCTGGTCTAGTGGCAGAGGAAGGCCCTTTTTGGAGAAGGGTTAGGAAAGTTATGTGTCTTAGAATACGGGCTTATTGGGCAGGTGACATTGTGGTTCAGTTTTGCATAATTCTTAGAACTTGTCTAGGTGCACGAAATTAACCCCTACTCAGATAAATTAAAACTGTATTTATTTATTTTTAATTGAAGTTGACATACATTAGTTTAAGGTGTATAACAGGGTGATTAGGCATTTATATAACTTACGAAGTGATTGCCCTGATAAGTCTAGTATCCATCTGACACTGTAACTAGTTGTTATGATGTTACTATTTTCCCTAGACTGTACTTTACATCTCTGTATTTTTTTATAACTGGCAATTTGTATTTCTTAATCCCTTCACCCTTTTCACCCACCCCCAAGCCTCCTTTTCATTTGGTGACCATCAATTTGTTCTTTGTATGTATGAAGTTTTTTTTTTTAAATTTTATAAAACTGTATGTCTTGATAAACTCCCTAAAAGTTGGAGTGTAAAAATTTTAGCAACAGTTAATATAGCTGAGTCTAGTAGCAATTAAACTAGTTTAGAATATCACATCCTCAAACAATTCCTATTTGTGTTCAAACATTGAACTACAGGGGATGGTCAAGTTAAGGTCAAGTGAACCTCGTAGGGCCCTATTGAATCAAAGTAGGAAGAGCATTGTTCAGAAATGAGATGAGAAGGAGTGAGAGTTCAGAGGGAACCCAGAAGTCTGTCTCTGCAAGCCCCCAAGTCTTGTGCTCTTCCCTTGAGAAGCAGCAGCAGGGAGGGGTTCAAGGTACTGAGGTGTGTGCTTCTTATACTGGTGTGCTTCTCAGATACTCAGTGTCTATGGTTCCCAAGATCTCAATGGGTTAGACCAATGAGCTAATTTTTATTTTGTGGCACCAGCCAGTAGAATTTTGTGATCTTCTTTAGTTATGTTCAGCCTGGAACAGAGATGTTGGCTGCTACAGATGTTGGATATAATCCTTGGTCAAGAAGCCAAGGGTAGTGACAGTACTGGCAAAGACTGATGCAAGAGACAGACCACAAATCTTGGTTGGATGGGGCAGGAAGTGAAGCCTGAAGCGTGCTTATCTGGGGGAACTGGAGGCATCGAGGAGGTGGTCTTGAAAAGGTGGAAAAGAAGCCCTGGCTGGCATAGCTCAGTGGATTGAGCGCGGGCTGGGAACCAAAGTGTCCCAGGTTCGATTCCCAGCCAGGGTACATTCCTGGGTTGCAGGCCATAACCCCCAGCAACCGCACATTGATGTTTCTTTCTCTTTCTCTCTCTCTCTCTCCCCCCCCCAAAAATAAAAAAAAATAAATAAATAAAATAAAAAATTGTCACTAAAAATAAAAAAGAAGAATTAAAAAAAGAAAAGGTGGAAGAGTAGTGTTAATGATTATTGCTAACATATACGGAGGGCAGAAACATGTACTTCTCACAGCAATCTTAAAGAGTTATCTTTACAGATAAGGAAATTGAAGCAAAAAGCTTCAATAACTTGCTCAAGGTTGTACTGTTGGTCGATGGCAGATCTCGGATTAGACCCTAGATGGTCTCACCCCCACGGGCTGTGTTCCTGACAACCAGGCAAGGGATTACGAGAAGAGAGGGATTGTGGTCTGGGAATGGTATCCTGTGCTTTAGGGTTTCAGTGCAACTCGAACAGATATTTATACACCAGTGTACACAATAGCCAGAAGGAGGAAACAAGCCAAGTTTCCCTAAAGAAATGAAGGGTAAACAAAAATGTGGTCTATACACACAGTGGAATGGTACTCAGCCACAGAAAGGAATGCAAAAATGTTGGTATGTATCGCCACATGGATGGCCCTTGAAAACATGATGTTTAGTGAAGTGAGCCAGATGCAGAAGGATAAATATTGTATTTATCCTCACTTGCATGAGGTCCCTAGAACAGGCAAGTTTGTAGACACAAAGCACAATACAGGTTACTAGGGTCTGGAAGGAGGAGATAGTGGGGAGCTGTTCTTTAATGGGCACAATGTTTTTGTTGGGATAATGCAGTTTTGGGTATAAATAGTGGTGATGGTTACACAAGATTGAGAATGTGTTTAACGGCACTGAATTGTGTACTTACACATGGCTAAAATTGTAAATATTATGCAATATATATCTTACCGCAAAATTGAAAAAATGTTTCAGTGGTGAACTAGTTCTGGGTGATTACAACAACAAAAAATCTGTTGGAGAAGTGAGCTGCGGAATGTAGGCTAGAGGTCACGACGGTCGGGGTGGAGAAGGTCAAGGAAGGGCAAGGCCAGGAGTTGAATGGGTCATCCAGGAGGAGCTCCGTGTCCTGACATTTATTTATCCTGAGGGCAGCACCTGTGCCATTATCAGACCCTATGCACTGAATACAAGGAGGACGCAAAACGACCTGGGATGATTCACTTCCACTTCAGCCCCTTCTCCAAACTCGCCGAGTTGTAGATGCTGATTTTCCTGACCTTCCGGATTGTGTACCTGAGCAGCAGCAGCAGCCATGCCTTCACTTCTGTGATCATCTGGGTCAACCGTTCTCTCCACACCACTGTGTACTTTTTCCTGGCCAGCGTGGCAGCACTGGAAATCTGCTATTCCTCCACCACTGCCCCTCGGACTGTGGTCAGCAGCCTGTCCACAGAGAGAACCCTCATCTCCCTGTCTGGCCGTGGCGCCCAGATATTCTTCGCCTCCCTGGGCAGCACAGACTGCATTCTGCTGGCCCTCATGGCCTATGTGCATCACCTTAGAAACAGATCCCTTCCCAGGCAAGCATGAAATAGCACTGTAGCCCAGCCCAATGCCTTCATTGCAGTTTTGTGAGATATCTTGACACAGAGACACCCAGCTAAGCCACACCTGGATTCCTGAATCACAGAAGTGATAGGATAATAAATGCTTGTTCTTTCAAGCTGCTACGTTTAGGGACACTTGTTATGCAGCCATAGATAACTAATACAAACTATGAGGGGGCAAAACTGCAAGTCAGAAATTTTGTTCTCCATCCTGGTTATTCTGTCCTTCCTGCCATGGGGAACAATTGCTGTGGAGGACAGAAAGAATCTTCCCTTCAATTCTCTAGCTCCCTTATCTTTTTCTACTGAACACCACATGCCAGAGACCCTGCCTCAAGGTACACCCGCCAGAAAGCGGTTTTACCTGTTTCACAGCAGGCTCTGGAGGTCCCTTTGGGGTAAGGCTCAGTTCTCTTCTCCACTGAGAAAGAAAGAGGCTTAGAGCGAGGAGTGAGGAGAAAGCCCCAAGTCCCAGGAGTCTGTCTTTGGTTTGTTCGTGAAGATGAAATTATTGGCTGATTTATTTATAACCCAAATGCAAACACTTGAATGAATCCTGACTCGTGTAATGGGGAAACAGCTGTACTAAAACCCGGTGGGTGGGAAAGGCCAAGTATATGTGGGGCAGACTAAAGAAAACACAACTGAGAGAATACTGAGTCTGGGACCGGAAGTCACTGTCCACCTATGTGGAGACCCTGGAGTCCACTTGGGCTCAATATCGTGTTTTCCTCACCAGCCCAGGGAGTCCTCCAGCTCAGGTCCCATGTGCCACAGGTACTTCACTTCCTTCAGTTTTTTTGTGTGTGCACAACTAGTAGGTAGAATCCAGACTGCTGCCCGTCAGGAAAGAACAAATATTAACGTTAAGATAAAATTAACAAAATAGGGTTCATCCCCACTAGGAGGTTCAGAGAAGGCTTGAAGTCTATAATAACTACCCTCAAATGGAATGCCATCCCCGGAGAAGCCTGCTGATGCTCCCCTTCCTGGACTCCGGTTGCAGGTCAGATGGCTCTTTACACTGTTTTCAGGATTTAAAAAAATAAGGGGAATCATACAGTTATTTCTGTATGGCCACACAGGCTAACCAAAAGGTCATTTTTTTACTTCATGGAAACATCCTCTCATTGGAAACCAAATCCCACCACCCTCAGTTTTATGGAGATGTAATTGACATATCACATTGCATTAGTTTAAGGCGTGTAACAGTGACTTACATGCTTTAAGTATGTGATTATGTACATACAGTATTGCAAAATGATTACCGTAAGTTAACATCCATCACCTCACAGTTACAATTTTTCTTATGGTAAGAACTCTTAAGATCTATTCTCTTACCATATTTCAAATATATTGCACATTATTGTTAACTGTAGCTACCATGCTGTACATCACATCCCCAGAACTTATTTCTCTAATAACTGAAAGTTTGTACCCTCACCCATTTTGCTCCTTCCCCCCAAGGACCAGTCTGTGCTCTCTATGTATGAATTCGAGGAAACAAAATTTCTTCTTACATAGTAAGTGTATTTTGTTAGGGATATGGAGTCTTTCAAAACAAGAGATCCACAAATGAAAAAAAAAAAAGAATGCATGATATTTTTGATCTTGAAGACTGGTAATCGTTAGTTGTGATCCGCTCCTTTACTTGAAAGATGAGGAAATAGATTGTATGATGTCAAGTGACCGCTGTTCTGTGGGAAAACTCTGTGACTAGATTCAGGAGACCCTCATTTCCCGAAGAGCAGGGACCCAGCTATCCTCAATCAAGATTGCTTAAGAGGTGGGATAGGGTTCTGATTTACTTTTTCCGTGTACGACCACCAGGGGGCGCAGAAGCCTTCCAGTACCACAGGTGGGAAACTCCACCTAGCGGGTAACACCTGCGGGAGAAGGAAGCGTTCAGGACTCACCAGGGCGGGTTAGGGCTGGGATGGCCGAGTTCAAACAGCTCTGCCGCTCGCGGACTGTACACATAGACCCTTATGGGAGGTGATGAAGTCAGCATGGAGCACACGCTGAGATCTCAGAAGAGGGCAAAGGTCTGTTAGAATGACGAAAAATAATTACAGCCTTTTCACCTGGATGCATCGAGCAGATTCTTTTCGTGACTTGAGAAATGAATCTTCGGAGTGTCAGTCCCATTTAGGGAGCGCCACTCTCTGCTGAGTGCGTCATTTGTTCCCCCCAAAAGGGGGCACACAGGGAAGAGAGAAGAGAGGGTGTGTTGCGGGAGAGAGAGGCAGGAAGATATTCCAATACAAATATCTTTACTTACCACCCTGGTCTGTCATTGACTGATCAGCCATGTCGCCCCTGCCAGCCAGGCCTCACCCCACACTGGGAAGTATTAGCTCTTATTTATAGATACAGGAACTGTCCCCTAGAGAAAGAGAACCGGTGCTTCCCCCAAGGGTACACACAGCGACAGGTGTTCTGACGTCAACGCCGAGGTGCCCGCCGTTTCTCCGAAGGGTCCCTACGGCCAACACCAGGAAATCCGAGTTCTTCGTCCCCGCCGGCCCCGTCCGCTTGCTCCTTCACCTCCAGCTCTCCTCCCCGGGGCCGCCCTCCGCCCGCTGTGCCAGCTCCTCTCCCGGAACGCCCCCCGCGCCCGGGAGACCGTAGTTGCTGCCTCCCCCGCCCGTTTCAGGGCAAACCCCACCGTGTTGGCCTGCGGCGCTTCGCCCCGCCTCGCCAGGACGAGCGAGTCCGCCGAGGGCAGGACCCCAGCTCGGAGCCTGGCCCAGGCAGAGAGCGTCTGCCGAGCGCCAAGGATGCAGCTGAGGCCACACGGGCGCCCTCGCTCTTGCTCGCCCCCCCACACCCGCCCGCCCGGGCTTCTCCGCTCTCCGGGGTCTCTGGGGCCCCGGGGCTGCGGCGGGGGAGTCAGAGCAGCCGCGGGAGGCGGGGCGGCGGCCGGGCTGGGCCCCTTTAAGGAGGAGCGCGGGGCGCGGCCCAGGTAAGGGGCGGGCCCGCGGGCGGATCAGCGCTACGCGCCGGCGCTGGCCCCGGAGCCGGATTTGGAGCGCGCGGCGCCGGCGGGGCCGCAGGGGGCGGCTTGGCGGAGCCTCCCGTGGTCTCGGACACTCCTCCCAGCCGGCCGCCGCCGCCGCCCGCCTCCAGCTCCCAGGCCCCGGCCCGGCCGGGTCGCCACTTCCGGCAGCTCACCTGGGACGCGCTCACCTGCCTCCCGGCGCCTGGGCACCAGGATGAAGGACCGGCTGGAGCAGCTGAAGGCCGTGAGTCCCGCCGCCCCCGGGACCCCGGCGGGCTGCGGTGGGGGGGGGACTTCGGAGGGTGGCGCTGCGCGGGAGAGGGGCTTCCCCTGTCTCCCCAGCTCCAGGCCGGAGGGGGCCGGGCGGGAGGCCTGCCCTGCCCAAGCCCCAGCCGCATCCCGCGCCGGTTCCGCACTCTCCCCTCCCCACCGGGGTCATGTGCCGCTGATTCATCGCTGGACTGCGGTTTCCCGGGATGCCTCTGCTAGGCTCTCCTCCCTCCTCCATTCCCCAGCTGGACAGCGTCCGTCCGGGGCTGGGATCTGCGGCGGGCGCTTGAGCCAAGAGGAGCTCTCTGTGAGGTCCGGGGCAGCTCCGGGCTCCTGGGGGACCTCCTGAGCTACGTGCTGAGACGGGTCCAGCTCCTTGTCATCCGGCGCTCTGTAATTATTAATTTACCCCAGCACCCTCGGGTCAGCTGTGGTCGGGGCAAAGGCTCTGAAGGTAGCCCGCCTCCAGTCCTGCTACACGAAAGCTGTAGAACCTTAGGCTACTTACGCTTTCGAGCCTCTATTTTCCTTATCTGTCAAATGGGGGTGATCATGCCTCGGCTAGAGCTTTGTAATGCAATCAAATGACATAATGAGACTTAGCACACACAGGTTTTTGAGTCAGATATTCACTGACTCATTCAACAAATAATTATGGAGTGCAGTCTAGGGGCAGGCCCAGGGCTCAGCCCTGGGCCCAGGCTCTGCCTCAATGGAATTTAAAAATCTAGTCCTGGCCACAAAATAGTCCATCTGCTTGGGAGCTTGTTAGAAGTGCTGAAGTCCTAGCTGTCCCTTGACCTCGGATCTGAAGTTTTGTCATCTGTGAAATGGGTGGTTGTGAGGACCACCCCAGAAGGGCCCTCTGTGTGGAGCACAGAACCCCGGGGACTAATGAATGGTACATGTAATGCTACTGACTGTTAAAGCTCTTTGGTAAAAGAGAGACCTTTATTGGGACTAGTGGGGGACTAGTGGGATGATGTCACAATTGTTTTTCTTTCTCCTCCCTTGCCTTGGGTGACACCTTCATGACTTTTCACCTTCTCTGGGTAGTAGGATAGCAGAGGAGCAGGTCAAAGGGGAATGTGAGAAAGGAGGGGACGGTGAGGGAGTGAGCCTCTGCGCCTCCTGCCTGCTGTCTGTCACCTGAGCATCACAGCAGTTACCAACAGGGCAGAATGTCCCGCCACTGTTTTTGTAGGTGAGGAGACTAGAGCTCAGCCTGGGTAGGAAGGAGGGTTGCCGTAAGTGACGGAGCTGGTGACCCTCCACAGTGCTTTTTCTCTGAAGCACGCTAGTTGGGGAGGCAGAAAGGGAACAGGAGCGTGGTTTTGAAGGTCTTCCTCTATCAGCACATCCAGCCGTTGTAGAACATTGCAAAACCGAACAGCAGGCAGAGGCAGCTCCCTTCCTCCGAGGGATTTCCAGAGGAAGATAACCCTGTGGCCTCTTTCAGTAGCCCATTGTCCACAATTAGCCAAGAGCCTTCCCTGAGCTTTGCATTCCTGGTATCAATTCCCTTTGCCAGGGAGCCTAAGTTCCTTTGCTGCTCCAAGCTTCCTTATTACTCCAGTAACGTGGGGCAAATGCTGTGTTTCCTCCCTTTGCCTCTTGGGGTGGTGGTCAAGGTGAGACTGTAGCAGGTGCAGCTGTGAGGGGAGCACCGTTCTGACATCACAGGTGCTCTAGCCTTTTGGAGCCAGGAGGTGGGTGGGCCTGGGCTGCAGGTTCAAAGGCTTCCATGGCCCTGCCACTTAATAGCTGTGTTCCTTTGTGTCACTTTCCCTGTCGGCTTCTCGGTTCCTCCTCTGGGAAACAGAGTTTGGCTGCGCTTAGAAGCTCCTTGGGCAATGTTAATGTTTTCCAGGAAGACTGTTAAGGTTTGTATACATTTCGGTTTCTAGTCCAGTTCCTCCCTTCCCCTCCCCCAGGAGAGAGATAGCTCTCGCTGCAACAAGATAACCATCTTCTCTCTCTGATTTCTTTTTATCAAGGGAAGGCATCCGTTAATCTGCATGAAGCCAGTTTCGTGCTGAGCAGCCTGTGCAATTTCTTTCCGAGGCATCTTTCTAAACCTCGGGGGAGGCGAGGCGATAACTGCCACCAGATAGCTGGAGGGCTGTCACGTGCCAGAGACTGGGTTCAGCTGCGCAGACACAAGGAGAAGATGTGAAGTTGAGGGGTAGAAATTACAATGTTGCATCGCAGCATTTTTAGTGGTCAGCGCTGCCCAAGGAACAGCTAGGCTGGCTGGAGAGGCGGTGAACTCTCACGCACCGGAGGGAGGAGGCAAGGAACCTGTTGGAATGTCAGGTGTTTGAGCATCTTTGAGGTGGGGGAGGCAGTCAGGAGGTTTAAGGCCTCTGTCCACCCCGAGGATGTGTGAAATGTTTCCTCTGGAGCCTGCGCTGAGCACCCGTTAGGCTCTGGCGTCCGAAGGCCTGAGGTCTCAGAGTTGCACCTGTAAAGCGGATCATCAGCTCTGACAGGTGTGACTCAGTTGGTTGGGTGTGGTCCTGCAGAGTGAAAGGTCACCAGTTCGTCTAGGTCCAGGCACGAGCTTGCGACTCTCTGGGTTCTGTTCCTGGTTGGGGTGTGTACGAGAGGGAAAGATGTTTCTCTGTCCTCTCTTCCTCCCTCCCTCTCTAAATATAAAGGCATAAAATATAAAGTGGCTCATCCTACCTTTCCCCTAGGGTCCCTGAAAGGGTGAAATGAGATAATCCATGATAATCACCCACCACAGTAAATGTGAGTTCCTCCAGCTTGACCTGCTGGGAGCAGCACCCACACTGCGGGGCCCACCCTCCTGGGGCCAGTGTCACAAGACAGGACTCATTTCTGGCACTGCCCCTCCCGGTGGGCATTCTCAGCCGTCAGCGTCTTCAGTGACTAAGACAGGCTGGCCGGGACTGTGCGCTGCCTGCACTTAGCCTATCTCAGGAGGTGGGTCCTGCTGATTTCTCACTAGCTGAACTTTGGATCTGCTGAGTCCAGATTAATTCCTGGCCAGGAACCTCTTGCTTGTCTCTCTTTTCAGCCAGCAAACATTTACTAAGCTCCTGCTGTGTCCCAGGTGTTCGGGATGGTGCTGGGGTGTAATGGTGATGAATACATCTTCCTGGCTCTCAGGAAGTTCCTAGTCGGATCGGGAGACACACGAGAAATAGACACAATGGTGTCATCCTTGTGGTAAAAGCGTCTGCAGGAATACCTCGTTGGCTGGCTCCCGGGAGATGGGGACAGGGTGTTAGGGAGTGGGGCTGCTTCCCAGAAGAACTGGTGCTTGAGCTCAGGTTTCTTCATCAAGTCCTAGTTAAAATCAAGTCTCATTTCTTCAGAGGCATGTGGAGTCTGCCCAGGAAGCCAAGGATCCTGAATTTTCTCAACCAGTCTCCCATTGGCGGGTGTCCACATAGACACTACAGTCTGTGCTCTGCGACCTGGTGGGCTTGCTCATCCTCATCCTTTTAGACCTCATCCTGCTGGGCATCACACGAGCCAGCATTACCACACAGTTCTGGTCCTTAAGAGTTAATGGTCATACAGGGAAAACAAAGGACTGTATTTTATGAAGTAAGACCCCTCCCCAAAAAAACACTGAAGGCCAATAATGATACTAGAGATGACAGTGATATATGGAGTAGAGGTCAAGGCCTTGGGACCCTGTTGGAGACTGATCTACAGAGGACTAGAAATGGCTTGGGGTGTGTGGGCCCCTCCAAGGCCAGCACCTAATGAGGTCAACCACCTGGGGCTCTAAAGGTCAGCCTCATTTTTGCCCTTTCTGCTCTGTCCTGCGTCCTACAAGGACTTGTCTTTGGCCCCCTTCCCCACGTGAAGTTCTGGTGTCTCTGCGAGGTCAGAGTTGCTCCGGATAATGGTGATAGCACAGCCCCAGAGAAACACAGCTGGGCTTCCCCTTTAAAGCTTAGTTCATTCTGTCAATACACAGGGTCCGGCACAAACGACGCCCCCCTTTTTTATTAAAAAATCTTCTATTACAAAATCATAGGCATGCAATTCTGTAATGTAACAATATCACTCAGTCATACTGTGTGACATTTTAGGTGAAATGTGCACATTAAAACTAAGTTATTACACCCATGTTATTGCCCTACCAACCACACTTGAGCATTACTCCTGCCACACCCTGTATTTTGAGTCCCTACTATGTTGGGGATGCTTTGGATCATAAGCAAATCTTAACATCCGGACTCAAGAATCTGTCTCTTCACTGAGATCCCACCCTTCAATGGCAAGATTTCTACCTAGCCAGCGCTTGCTTCCTCAGCTCCTCTCTTCCTCTGAGAGGGTTCATTCCCTGGGCGAGCTGTTGTGCAGGGGGCAGATGGGAAGCCGCTGAGATGAGAGTGACAGGGATTGAGCAGGGATTACAGACCCGTCGGCCGGAGGCCAGAAGAGAACATGCTTGGATGAGAGCAGGGGATTAGTTTTATTTTTATTCCTGTGCGTGTGGGGGAGGCCGGGGAACTGGCAGGCTCTGAGGGAGACATGCTCGCCCACGTTTCCCCTCTCCCTTGCGGTGTTCCCTTACCCTCGGTCAGAGTCCCTGCCTGTCTTTCCAAACTGACTCGCTGCAGGTGATGGCTCCCTAACCGGAGCCTGCAATATGCTCCCTCCATTCCAGCAGCCCGCATGGCTAGATATTACGTTGTAGCAAAATCCCTTTCTTCTAATAAACCAGTGGGGTTATTTGTTACCATGGAGTGGACTTGGACCCACCTTCCATTTTTTTTTTTTTTTAATGAGATGGACTCTTTGTCTTCTGGGTGCTGTTGTCTTTAAGATCGATGGTGCTATGACTTCTTGTTGCCACCATATCAGCTACGGTAACAAATGATTATCTACTGAGCAGCTACTTCCTATTGGGCAGAACTTGTGTGAGGCGCCTTACTTACCTGGTCTCTGATCCCCTCAACTGTGCAAGACAAGGTGTTGTTATATGAT